TCCCACCCATGTGACCTCTGGCAGTCACCTTCCTACACTTCAGCTTTCCCATCGGTGAAATGGGGATAATAACAGGGCTTATTTAACGGGGTTGTTCGGAGGATTAAAAGAGTTAATCCATGTAAAGTTCTGAGAACAGAGCCTGCCCTAATAAGACTAAAATGTTCAGGTTTTGTGGTTTTGTCCTACTGCATATATGATTTCTATTAAGGACACACATTCTTACTACATAAAAGGACCTCCAAATAACTGTTTGAGGATGATGGAAAATGTGAGGACACATTTTCACGGGTGTTTTAAGAAGCATTAAGAAAATGAATCACACCAGAGCTAACCCTGTGCCGCACACTCAGCTCCCCTTCCTTCCATCACCAAAAGCAGACATGTAGCTGGATACACAGGACAGCCAGGTACAGGTAAGGTTAAGGTGCACCACAAAATCTCTACTAGATTACACATACCAAAGCCCTCTCCTATTTGCAACCGGGGAGAGACACTGGCAGTAAATGTAGGAACTGTCTGGGACCTGAACAGAAAGATCCTGAAATGGAAGGCAGTCACCGAATCAGACACTGAAGAACAAGGGCTTGCCTTTTTCAGATCCTAGAACCTTTTAAAGGCTATTGAGAGCTGAACAGACTTTCATCCTGGGGGGGGGAGGGGGGTGGGGAAAGGCATATATACATAGTATCTTGCACCCAATTTCAGAAGCTCATAGACCATCCCCTGAAGCCTACTCACAAAGCCCATGTTAAGAAGTTCCCTCTCTCTCAAGGAGCACCTGGGTGGCTCAGTCGGTTAGGAGTCTGACTTCAGCTCAGGTCATGATCTCTCGGTTTGTGGGTTCGAGCCCCACATCGGGCTCTGTGCTGACAGCTCAGAGCCTGGAGCCTGCTTTGGATTCTGTGTCTCCCTCTCTCTGTTCCTCCCCCACTTGTGCTCTGTGTCTCTTGTCTCTCAGAAATAAACATTAAAAAAAAAAAAAAAAAAAAAAAAAAAAAAGAAGCTCCCTCTGTCTTCTTGGCCTTCTTGAAGTCACAGCTGTCTACACTGTTATCCTCAGAGGGAGAGGGACCACAACCTCTATCCCCATCACTCCCAAGGCCCTGCTAGAGACCCCTTCCCATGCCCCTCACCCAAAAGTTCTACAGAACAGCAAACACACATCTTAGGGGCCTTTCTGTCCATAGTATGGAAGTATACAACAGGAAATACTCCTGAATCCTCCATTTTCTCTTTACTCTCATCACCCCCAACACGGACTACCCCCGTTTGACCCTACCAGAGTCAGTCTCCATGCTGGTGATCAGCATCTGCCTGTACGATTCCAGGAAAAACTATGAACCAACTCTCCCACCCACAAACCCACACAATACCTTTCAATAACTGCGTGCTTATGTGTATAGTTATGAGCTTCTTTTCTTTAGCTTCAAAAGATTTGATCTCAACCAAAAAGTTACATGTAAGCTGCTACCTAACTATATTTTTAGGTAAACCTCCTTATGTGTCCTCCTCCCCTCACCAATCAAACTAAACAACTTGAAGTACCATATCCCCTATTTCTTAGTCTCTTGTTTAGCATTTTCTCCAGGTACAGGTGTCCGACACTCGTTTGTTGTCTTAGGGATTTACATCATGGTGTGAACAGCAGAGCCGGTTTCCATCAGGAGAGATGACATCATGGTCCGGGGTGGGGGGGGGGGGGCAGGGAGGGCTCTGGTGAGCCAACATTGGTAACTTCACAATATTGGCAAACACCCGACCAGGTGAACTATCGGTGATGAACTATCAGTGATGGGCAGTACTGAAAGCAAAAGGGAAGATTCATTAGGCTAAAATGAAAAGGAAAAGTCATGTTGGTAGGAGACAGAACTGGGGAAAAGCCAATAAAAGCAAATAGGACTGGATAGGTTTCTTAAAAAGTGAAAAAGCCTAAACCTTGAGACAAGCAATGATGGCAAGTATTTTCAAATGTATGGGGCTAAAATCCTGGAGCACTAAGCATTATCTAATTGGTTCCTTCTTTCTGTAAACATTTTATAGAATAAATTCCTACAAAGTTGAGGATCACCCTACACAGGCACACACGTGTGCACACACACACATGTGTACACACAGACTGACTGATTTACATTCCAAGTGAATTAAACACTTTAGTACCACCAACTCCATACAGGAATCAATCTAGTAGCTGCTTGAATGTGTCTCCTGACAGGGGGCTCACGACTTCACAATGCAATCTGCCCTACTGTGGAACAGTCCTTGCACTGGTTTTGTTTAATGAGGTCCACATATAAGTAAATTTTCTTCTAAGTGAAATAAAGGGAGAGCACTAAAACAACTGAATTCATACTTCCTCAAGTTTATAGACAATGGAACCAGGCTTCCTAGTTTGCAAAAAGCAAACAGAACTGCTCCTGCTGCAGCTTGGAGTCTCTTATAATTATCTAGAAGAACAAATCTCCTTTCTACAAGGTTCAGTGATTTGGCGGGGGGAAGGGGAGAGGGCACTGTAATCCCTTGGAAATCATCCTCACTGTTTAGAGGCATTTCAGGGCAGGGGATACTATTTGGTCAACAATAGGAAAATACATCATTAATGAAAGTAATGAACCAGGGTTCTGATTCTTACCAGCACTAACTTTCCTTGTGACTGGAAAAGTCACTTAACCTCTCTGGGCCTCAGTACTAGATGATTTCTATGACCCCTCATAAAATGATCGTTAAGCCCCTCTTCAGCAACACTGAAAAAAACCTGAGCCACAGCATTCTTTTTGAACTTTGTGAAAGCTGTATGAATTAAATTTTAAATGCCTGAACCTAGTGTGTTAAACCAACTCCGTATCATCTCTGCATGGTCATGCAGTGGACAGAGATAATCAAATGATAAAGAAAGATTTATAGGAAATATACTTAAATTGAGAAAAAGTGCCTAGCAATAATATCCCCATCAGAATTGGGAAAAGATGGGCTTTGCGTTTATTTTAGCAGAGGAACAACTAACTCCAGCCGGCAGGGGGATGGGGAGGTAGTTTGAAAACTTCTGGTCCAGATGTCTCCAACTCCGTTCCACTACTGGCCCTGCACTAAGTGACCTACGCATTCCAGAAAGGTGCTCTGAGCTGGGTCTGGCTTTGGGGTAGACTTTGCTCCCTGATTATCCAAAGATCTCATTTACATTTACCTGAACCACTCTCCAAATCCCCACATCGCTAAGGATTTCCAAATTCTTCTCTCCCAGGGAAGGGACTCAGGAATGGTTTTATCAGGAGGTGAGACACTTTCTAGCTCTTCAGAGAATCAGGAACCTTAACTAATGAGACCCCCACTTGCTCAAGATAGACTGATACAGAAAGGGGAGTGCAGTACCCTTACCAAACTTCGGCTTCTGACCTCTGAAATCAATGGGAATGCCCACTACCACCCAAAAAGCGCACTTTGATACCCATTCTGGAGGCCAGCCAGCCAACCTTTAGAAAGCAAACTCTTTACTATTAAACATTAACATATCCATGGAGGCATAAACGTTTTTGGAACAAAATAATCCCGCCCACTTCTTGAAGGGCTGTTGTTAGAAGGAACATTGCAAAAGCTCTGTGCCTCTTGAATTTGGGGTAAGAAATGGTTCTGTTGAACCAGAAGATTACAAAATCTTAAGAACCCATGTGCAGAATCATCATCCTGAGAGCCCCCTGGGCAGGCATCACTTGTGAGGCACGTATGGAAAGCTAAGAACAGACACTTAGATGTAACTAAGACAGTAACTAAGACAGTATCTTTGAATGTATTGGTTCACATGCTTTAATTACACCTTGGTCCCGCAAGGAGCCTGCAGCGAACAAACAGAGCCGGGCAGGAAAAGTAAATATATCTCAAAACAACCCAACAGGAATTGGACAAGCCCTCGTGGGGCTCTGGAAGGTGAGGGGCATGCTGTGTATGCTGCCAGTCTGGGACGCAAAAATCAAAGCAAGCCACAGAGGGCAGACACACTGGGCTCGGTCACCAGCTCTGCTCCTCAGCCCCAAGGGGGCCTTCAAGGCGACTTCGCACGCGATCCCCACAGCAGTTCTCACACCCGCCGCAGTTCAGGAGAGTTAATTGGAGTCTGTTTATCCACTTTCTTTCCTTCTCCTATTCCAGCTCTCTCCATCTCTAACCAAGGAGGTAATACAGCCAGGCTTATCGAAGTAATTATTTCCCCTACTCTCAAGTTTCTTGCAATTATTAAAATACATAACACAAGGACTCAGGCGCTGAGCCGCGGGGAGAAACTGACACTTCACACATCTGTCAAGATTACCATCAGGCCCCACCTCCGCGATTGCGACCTTCCCCGATAGGCATCACAGTTGTAAAATGTACCTACCATAAGTTCCCTCGCCGGCTCCGGAGCCCAGAGCGCGCTCATAAGAGCGGACTACAACCTCGTTTTTTGGTTGTTCAGTCGTTAGTATTGGCATCATGACGATGCAGGCTGTGTTGGTTTTACAAAATACGTCTTAAGAGATCTTAAGGTCTCTTGCTTTGCCGCCGTCAAAAGACACAGGACCCCAGAGAAGCTGCGAGGCCCTGGGGACCCAGCGCGGCCGGGCCCACGCTCCCTCACCCGTGTCAGGCCGTGGGGGCGCCACAGTGACGCGGGAGGGGGAGCCAGGCTCAGTCCCCTCCCCCGGCGATCCGGGAGCGCCGGGCCCGGGCGCCCTGCCAGAACGCGCGCGATTCGCTCCCGGTTATCAAATCCTTATCGGTGCCCCGAGGTGGGAACCGCCGCTTGACCGAAAGATGCACTGTTTCTGGCGCAGGTCCCACAGTGGAAGTCAGAACAAGAGCAAATCAATCCCGGAACTGAGCTCTCCCGGGCCTCGGTTCGGGGTCAGTCACCCCCTCCCTTCGCGGCTCCGTTCCCCCATCTCCGCACCACCGCCCCGCAGCCCTGCAGCTTATCTGACCCGGCTCTGGCCACAAGTTCGATTCGATTCCCCCAAACCCAGCCTCGCCAAGCCGCCGCCGAGGGCAGGGCTGAAAGCGCCAGCCCACCGGGCAGCCCCAGAGGAGGAGACCCTGAGCAGTTGGGGTCTAGGCGGCCGGCCTCGCTCCATTGCTGGAGGCGAGGCCGTGCCCACGCCGTGCGGCCGCGCCGCGCGCTCCCACCCCCGCCCGGAGAGGGCCGGGCGGGGAGCGGCTGGGAGGGGGCGGGAAAGCAGTGAGAGTTGGCCGGAGTTGCCTCTCACCCAGAGCCGAGAAGCTAACGAGGGCAGACGCGCA